TAGAAACAGAAACCAAATTTCGTATAATGTCTCTTTCAAATTCAAATAATAACCAATTTTTAATAATAACCTAAAAATCCTTATAGCCTCAACTTTAACTGATTTGCCATCGTCCCACATAGATGAATCTTTCAACATCAAGTGGCTTTTGACAGTTTAGGCAACCCCGCATAGACACTTATATAAGTAGTGACACCAAAATTTATCCACCAAATGTGTCTTGGTATTCAAGTTAAATTAACCATAGAACAAACCAAAGTGAACGTGTACTTTCTTTACCCGCCAAGCATGATATTTAGTATAATCTATATAAAATGTCCCAGATTTTCAAAAAAGTAACAGCTAGATGATTTATCATTTTAAGGTGTTTGATGTTCTTTTGAACCGAATTAGATGCAGTTTTCTTATTCTTTCACTTGTCCTTAGAGGTACTTGCCAAATGAATACTTCCAGTTCTCTCTTGCTTTAAACTTTCTTCTTCTTGCACACAATATGAAATGAGTTCATTAAGAGATGACTTCTCCTTTTGACAACTATAATTGACTTTAAATTAGCCAAATTGTGTAGAAAGAGAAAGCAAAACCATATCCATTAGAAAGTCATCAGATATCTTAAACTTTAGTGCAGTTGGTTTTAAAACAAGATGAGACACATCCATGATGTACTCTCGTATATTTTCTTTAGCCTTATGAAACCTAGTTTGCCAAAAACGTACTAGTTTCGACCTTATCATTTTTTTCGCAAAGCATTTTGAAATAATTCTTTAAGAAATTTCTTGGTAGCTACCTTACTGAACACATTGCCCCTAAATTTTCTTGAATTTTATGCTTCATGATCATAATACTTATGTAGCTTAAACGACCACACTTATTCGAGTCCCATTTTATTAGCGGAATCCTTATTCGTAAGAGTAGTAGATTGTTTAGTTCTTAACACAAGGTCTAGATCCATGCCATCAAGAATGATGCAAACGTTCTTTTCCAGCCCTTAAACTTTGGATCAAACACATGAATTATATTGATATTGGCAGATATTGTAGAAGTAGATGGATTAACCAAATAGAGAAGATAAACCTAAATAACATGTTCACATGGGAATGTGTATTGAACAATCAATAATTTCAAATAATGGTGAGCCCCATCATAAGAAATTGAGCACAATATTGATATTTAGTTTTTGGACAGAAATATCAACTTGTAAGCGGTATTTTTGGTGAAGTAATCAAATATTGACAATAAATCTGGTCAAACATCAAGTTTGTCTTTGGACCGACTCAATGTTCACATAATAGAAAACTTTACAATTGTCACATATTTATTACCACAGGTGTATAAATAATTCTAACAAATATTGACCTTCCTTTGGGCTAGCGAATATCCACATGAATTACGTATACACAATCTTCCTAATATTCCAAATAAATTAATTTAGGCAAGAGAGATTACTTTGGTAACATGTTGCTTCAACCAATCTATTTTAGAAAATTAGTAATGTGAAAAAACTTTAAATACCAAAATTTGAAATTGATTGCCCCTTGATGATATTATTATTATTATTATTATTATTATTATTATTATTATTATTATTTGTTTCTAACCCCAAAAAAAATAGTAATAATTTTATCTGTAGCAAACAAGCGTTGTAGTGTCCAATATTGGGCCCCGCATAGGCCATGGGCGCTATGTTCACAGCATGTCTAGGCACTGTCTTTTTTCGAATCGCGACGTTGCAGCGTCGCATTTGGGCGCCACGGCTGTGGTGTTTCTTTAATGCCGAAAAAAATTAACTTGAACCTAGAATTTAGATGTATGGGGTTTGAAATTCACATCTGAAATTTTTTTTTTTTTATATAAAACATTAATTATGAATTTCAACCCTAAAATTTTCTTCTTGAATAATTCTGAATTTTGAAATTTATGGTTTAAAATTTATATTCTAAACTAAAATATTTCAGAACTCAATATATGAATTTTAACCACAAAATTCTTCCTTTAATTCGAATGGTTTAACATGAAGTAGGCTCTAATACCATTTTTTGAAATTTTATGAAACGTTAAATCTTAATTTTATGAAAACCTAATTATTTTATTGCCAAAATCCTCCATGTCAAATTACAAAGAATTATAAAGTGTGGAACATACCTTAATTCATTGAGAATGATTCTTTATTACTGGATCTTGAATCTTGAAGATTTACTGCAATCTCTTCATGTTTGGCTTCTTCATTTTTAATCTTTAGTTTTGTCCCCTTTGATTCTAAATTCTTGTCTTTGAGTTTGATTCTTGATCCACAATCTTAATTCTTGATTTTGGATTTTGTATCTTCCTCTTCAATATGCTTTCTATTGTATTCTTGTGTTGATGACACAAAGAATGAGAAGTTGGATATGAATTGGGGATCATAATTCCATATTTGCCCGTCATGAAATATAATTCTAATGGAATCCGATCTCTACATATATAATCCGGCTCACACTTTATTTAGATGCCCTATGCCCAATTTTTTGTGTATATGTTAAAATAAATGACATTGTATGTATATATTAATGTACGTGTCCATATGTATAACTGTTTCTTATCCACATGTATATAATTCTTGAATTAGTAGAATAATGGATTATTAGTTTAGCGATTATTGAATTACAAGTACTTATTTTGGTTAATGATGTCTTTTATAGTGGGTTTTACTTTTGAATTTTTATTTAAATTAACACTTTTTAAGTAAGGTTCTATAATGATACTATTAAATAAACTAATAGGACAATGTTATAAGTTCATAATTAAAGAGAAAGTTTTGTCAAAACTTCTAAATAAATGGTAGTGAATTAGGATTTCGGCACATTGACTTTGTGAGCGACTTGGAATGTCTCCACATACTATTCTAAAAGTTTATTTTTCACGAATTTTAGGTAAGTAAACCTTCCATTGGATTCATGCGTACATTATATCATTAAATGTATATATGTATTGCCTATATTTGTTATTATGTGAACTTGATATTTGATTATTAACTTTTATGTCATTAATGCTTTTCATGATATATTCATGCACGTCAATAAATCCGTAAGCATAAATGAAGTTTCAAGGAATAAAAAGTTCCAAATGTCATGAGTCAAATAATATTTTTTAAGATATGTATCCCAGATATTTTTATTATGAGATGTATATATATGCCATGAAATGTGAGTGGGAAATGGGGTGTGGGGATTGGAGTATCCAACCAATGTTCAATGCTCAATGATGACGTTAATGTTAACCGTTTTGCAATACACCAATAGGACGAATCGAATTTCAACTAATATTTGCCCACTACATTTTGATTGGCTAGGTGATACACCAAGTGAGATCCTAATGTCAATATTAATGTTTTTAAACAAATGAAATGAAAGGGAACACATAATACAAAAACTATTTATTTTAAGTAATGTATATGCATATCATATGCATAGGGTTTTCTTATTGAGCGTCAGCTTATTCCAGGTCATCACTATATTTTCAAATGATGAGAGCTAAATGATAGGAGACGAGATGGATTCAGTACTGTCCGAGTTAAATGTTATATTTCTACTCTAATAAGATAATTTGAGACCTTTTGAAAATTTATTGAATTATTATAAATAAATCATTCTGGACTATGTAATTTTCTTTAATCAATTGTCTATGATTTTATAAATTTCACAAATGATGATGTCAGTTAAGTTTAATTTATGTTATTTGTTGCGATTTTATATCTTGCAAGTATACGGGTCATAACAAGTAGTACAATGGACCTTGGAGTCTGGATTATAGTTCCCACAAGAACTATACTTTAGCACTTAATCTAATTTCATTCTAACTACAATTCGACAAGGCAAACAAAGATTTGCATGCTTTGATTTTTAATCTAAATAGTAAAAATATGTGGATGCATACAATGATTGATTTTTGAAATTAAATAATGAACAAATATTAGAACAGAACAATTTCACCTATTAATCACATTTAAGTCTTAAATCAAGATTCAAAATTTAATGTAGTGTTCGATTAAATTCTCCTATTATATTCAATTTATTTCTTTCAAGTTCCTATTGAGTCTATTTAATTAATTCAATTTCATATCTCTATACAAATTAACCTTAAATGAAATCTTGGTTCTAAGAATTCATTTATGACCACAATAATCAGCATACGTATCTCTACACATCATACCAATTTACCGAATTTTACTATATGGTCTAAATCCTAAACTCACCTCCCGATTCATAAAAGATTCACAAAATCATCGAATTAATGATCAAGTAATTCAATGCATTAAATTCATAGCAAAATCAACGCATAACAGATAAAAGAACAAGAATCTTGAATAAAAGAAATAAATGGTCCCAAGTAGGTTACATTATTCGTCCTAATAAGAATTTTAGCTGTTCATAATAAAAGAGGAAAAATAATAGATCATTACTGAATACATCGCCAGATTTTTAGTAAAGATGTAGAAAAAGAAGTCAATCTTGAACCAAATCTTCTTCCTTTTCCAATCAATGCTTCAAACAATGAATTTCTTGATGTTTTCCTGCATTGAATTGCTTCTTTGATTCTCTAGTTGTGTTCTCCTCTTCTCAAAGTGTGAAGTCCCTTCAAAAATATGGAAACTTGTATTTATAGTTGCCTCCTCATTTGTGTCACAAGTAGGGTCTTGGCTTTCTGTGGGGCCTCAGTGCCTGTTGTGTGGTGCCGCGATGCCACAGCTTTGTTCACACGGTGGCGTTGTGGCGACCCTCGTCCGTTCTCCTTATGCTTGAACTCTTTTGCCCTTTCTTCCATCATTTCTTCTCAGTCCACGCCAATAGCTTTATTTGATGAATTGTTTTGTATCTTTCACCATCTCAACATTTCTACCTCATAAAATCTAGCTCACAATCAAGTTTACAATGGAATAAAACTTGTGAATAAAACACACTCGTCATTATTCAATTTTATTTATACTGCTCCATTTATTTTTTAAATGAAAATTAATGTTAGTATTTATAAGTTTAGAATTTCTAAACTTGGGCACATATTTCCGTTGTAAACCCATTCTTGAAGAATAGCTTCATTCTCAGGGAGTCTTCGATCAACACTTCTTCGGCAACATATGATTTCTAGGAGCACGACTCCAAAGCTGTAAACATCTGCTTTGACTGTTATAGGTAAATTCATGTGCCACTCTGGGGTAACATAACCCCTTGTTCCTCTGATCCCTATATTGGTGTATGTTTGATCTAGCATTAAGAGTTTTGCCAATCCAAAGTTGGAAATCTTTGCACACCTGTGCTCATCCATGAGAATGTTTTGCGGTTTAATATCACAATGAATGATCCGTGTCTCACACTCCTCGTGCAAGTAGAGGATGCCTCTGGCAATATCAAGAGAAATTCTAATTCTCTCTTCCCAGCATGGCCGACTTTCGGGATTGAAAAGTATATCTGCAAGTGATCCATTGCTCATGTATTCATATACCAAAAGCGACACGGATCCTTCAAAGCAGTAACCAAGAAGTCGGACACAGAGCCGGTCTTGTGTTTGATGGGCCCTGAGGCTGCCGATGAAAATTAGGCCCCCCACGACAAAATTCAAAGGTGTATTATGTGACTTATTGCTAACTTAAAAAACTAACATTAAAACAACCATGAAATATATCATAGAAACGGTTTATATTATAAACCATCGAACCAAAAATTTCAAACAATTAGTTAAATACTATTCGTCTTGCTGTTTTAGAGGCAAAAACATCAATCAAATTTGAATAACTTAGCTGCTCAACCATTTCTTTTTCTATTGATAACATAGCCAACCCGTTTAATCTTTCTTGTGACATAGTTGATTGGAGATAGGTCTTGATCAACTTCAATTTCGAGAAACTTCTTTCCGCAGATGCAACTGTAACCAGTACGGTAACAAAATTTTGTAAGCAATATAAGCATTTGGGAAACAAACATCCAATGTCTTCAAATAGTGTAGCACTTCAATTGCTCTTGTTGCTTCATTTGGTAAATAAATCTTAAAAACTTGTAACTCCGAACATAAATCATCTCCACTGATGTCCGAAAGCCCATTATGTTCAAGATATTTCTCAAGATTCATACAAGAGTTCAAAAAACTTGATAGAGTTTCACTCCTTAACCTCTTCAAATTAAACAAAAATCCAAATATAACATCATATTGTTTGAATTGTTCAAATCGAGTTCTCAGAGAAGATAGAGCTTGATCAATTATAAAAATAAAGTACTCAACTCTAAAAGATTCTTCTGCTGATTGCTTTACCTCATTACTACAGTTTTCATCAAATTGTTTTTTTCTTCGAATTATGCGTTTTTCTGTAAATACAGCTTCAATTCCCATTTCGTTTGCCTTTTTTATCGCTTCATCCATGGCAATGGCAAATCCAATTTCTCTATAATTTTCAAGAAATGAAACAAGTCCTTGCAATAGGTCGATAGCATGATCAATATCCATGGATTCAGTTTGAAGAAATTTACTCACAATATTAATTGCATGCAACAACCTGTACCAGATTACCATGCCAAGCAAGAACTCAAAATTCTGAAGTTCATGTGTTGCCAACGACTCGGCTTCACTCTTTACTTTAGGATCCTCGTTAGTTTCTGCCAAATCAAGTAATGCTTCTCTTATCTGTGCAGTTTGCTCCATTATAGGCTTCACACTCTCAACATGACTTTCCCAATGTGTTTGTGACAACGGCTTCACTGTCAACCCTTTTACATTATCTTTAAAAATTTGCCATCTCTTGGTAGAAGATGAAAACAAAGTGTAGATGCGTTGTATCACTCCAAAGAAGGATACAGCTTTGGAACAACAATTCACCATATCACATAACGCTAGATTTAGACTATGAGCGCCACATGGAGTATAGAAAGCACGGGGATTTATTTCATGTATTCTTCTTTGCACACCTTTGTGCTTCCCTCTCATGTTAGATCCGTTATCATACCCTTGCCCTCTAATGTCGTCAATATCCAGATCGAGTTTGATCAAAGCCTTTTGAAGCTCGGTTGTAAGTCCAAGTCCCGTAGTGTCATCTACCTTCAAAAATTCAAGCCAATGTTCTTCAACTGTAGGTAAATTTACCGAATCATCTACAAATTGTACTATTAATGACATCTGCTCCTCCTGACTTGCATCTGGAGTACAATCAAGTATAATTGCAAAATATTTTGCACGTTTAACTTTCTTGACAATTGCACTTCTCACCTCATTAGCCAACAACTGTATCAACTCATTTTGGATTTTTTTGCCAAGATACGTGTATTGAATCTCTTTTGCATTAGCCCGTCGAAGGTGCTCTTTCATTATTGGATCAAATTCACTAACCATTTTCACCATTTGTAAAAACAGACCATTGTTCTCAACATTTAGCCTCTCATAATCTCCTCGAAATGGCAATGTGTTTTTGGCGACTCTTTTTACAATAGTGATTATCCTTGTTAATACATGCCTCCAATGTTCTCTTTTCGCATCGATCAACAATTCAACGCCTTTATCAATTGCAGTTTTTGTTTGAAGCCTATTTTCCAATTCAATCCAACTAGTCATGCAACATAAATGCTCTTCATTTCCTTCATGACTTTTAATAGACCGATGCAAATTATGCCAATCTTTGAATCCATCGTTACCAAGTTGGCCAACTCTGGTAACATTTTTGGGTGTTTTAAACAACTTGCAACAAAAGCAAAAGATCTTGTCCATAGATATTAAATATACTAGCCATCGTCTATCAATTGTTTGCCCATTTCGTAGCAATCGCTTATATTGTGAAGAATCAAAATGCCTATTTGTACAATCTTTCGGAAACGATATGTCATCAACTCTTTTTGGACCCCTTTCAACTAAGTAATCCCTTGTTCTCTGATCAATGATTTTCCAATTCCCGGGATCATCCAAATTTAGAGAAAAGCAACCCTCTTCTTCCTTGTCATCTACTTCATTAACACATGCAGGTTTCTTTACCTCTTCTTCCTTATCATCTGCTACATTAACGTAGGCAGGTTCACTCACTTCTTCATCCTTATCATCTACTTCGTTAACACATGCAGGTTGAATCTCTACTTCATCCTCATTCAACGTATTCACATTGTTGCTTTTAAAGTACTTGTCAATATCCCCAACTTGACTTTGAATTAATGAAATTTCATTTCGTTTCCTTTTTCTCTTTTGAGCACTAGACTCATATTTAGGAGGCATGGTGTATGAGTCTATATCTGATGCCCAATGAGTAACCTAAAAAATAATTACAAAATATCTCAAATCATCACACAGTTAGAGTTTTCAATATAGTTATTATGTGCGCATGTGCAATTGTTGATCCTCTAATAATCAATCATATAAGCCGACCAGGCCACAATTATATAAGCCGACAAGGCTTCAAACATTTTCAATTTCTTCAATAACAAATTAAGACAAGCCATTGCTTACCTGACAAGTAGAATTTCAACGAAAACTGTGGAGTTACACCTTCAAGAATTTCACTGTCACAAGACTCACAACTCCTGACCCTGAAACAAAAATTTCACATCAAACGCTATTACGTATATTAACATGATCATCAAATTGAATATATTAGCACTAAAAGCAAAAATGCATAGGAAATTTTAGTATGTTACCTCCCAAATAAATGTGGCTTCCAAGGAAAATTTGTGATAGCAACGTCGAGAAAACAGGTTGAAGCAGCTGGCAGCATATACAAGGAAACCAAGGTAGGGACTAGAATCTTATTTGACCAAGTAATAGCACAGAGCAGATGCTACAACTCACTGTCAAAGGGAAAAAAAATTAAAAATATATAAAAATAAACAGCAGACTCTTAAGCAATTCACTTAATTGAATGCAAGGGGAGTAAATATCAAGCCTTTAATGGTTTAATGTCCAGCTCCCCACTCCTTCAGAAAATCGAGTAGTTTTTGTTTCAGAAAACTAGCAAAAGGTTTTTATAATGCTAGAGCAAGAGGCACAAAGTTGAACCACAAAGAATCATGCAACCGAGAGCCAATGAGGAAAGCAACTTAAATATCTTGGTATCTCTCCTCAACAGTGGACAAAAGTCCACTTAAATTGTGGACGGGTAGGTCACCCAAGTTGCTCCAGTAAATATTAAATGGGTAGAGCCCTAATCCTTAGAGCAATAAAGGGTGACATAATACATAAGAAACATTATGCACACAGGGCATCAAATAATAACTTACTAAATAGAATGATTACTGGTAGTCGCTGACTATGGATAACGTTATTCTTATTTATCACATTCACATGTGCAAAACATATAATTTAATGATTTGCATTCATTTTTATTGCGAGTATAAAATTATAGGTTGCCATCCTCAAATCATACACTTGATCATTCACTTGATTTAGAAATTTGCATTCAATGTATTCATTGCGATTACATGCTCATAATTCACTAACGTTGATCATTAAAGTATTTGTCTTGTTTGTAGTCAATAGTCACTGCATTTTCCACTATGGATGTCTATATGAATTAATATTACATAATTTAGTTAACACATTCTAATATATTTCAAGTTATTTGATAAAATAAAATAGATCTGAATTTTAATTATACTTGTCTTGAAAAATAATAATTTTGTACTGATATTTTACTCTTCTTCTTATACCACCAGGATCACAAAGGGGAAATCTTCACTTAGATCAACCTGTTATGAGTGAGTTGAAGTGAATTACTAGTTGGAATAGTGACCTTTTTGGTACTTATAAGTAGAGGGAAACCTGAAACTTCATCCTATCACTGAGAAAATCTTTTTGCAGGCATAAATCAAACACTCTGAAACAGACAGAGAAGTCCATGTACCAAGTCATTTAGAGCATGTTTGAGCATACAGAAACATGCTTTTAATAGTTACATGGTTCCCATTTTGCAACAAATTGCGATATTAAACCCCACACAAAATAAATCGACGATTATAATTATCACAAGTTGTCAAAAGGGTAACGCCACTTTAGGATGATCATTGAGAGCTGGAAATATGCAAGTTATTAAGAATAATGCTATGAAAAAGGCACCAATATACTTATATACAACTCTTCAGATGTCAATTCTCTCAGTTTTTTAATCTGCTTATTCTTAAAATCATACAAAAAAAAGTTAAAATAAATTCAGTCATCTACTGCAGAAAATATATACTTCTACTGTTCGTGGAGTGTCTGTGTCTTCAATTGAAATTATCTACTATTTAATTATTTATTTTTATAGATATATCGTATATAAATTGTGGCATTAAAGGAAAAGGTGTCCATGATTTTATTTTACCTTTTAATTTGTTATTTATGGTTGAGCTGCCAATGTCTTATATATCCATCGTTGGCATGTAAATAACAATTAAAAAAGATTTGTACTTCATTATTTATAATTACAGCAGCCAAGTTTTTTAATATGTTTAATTTATAATTACTCATAGCTCACCCAAGTTGCTGCAACAAACTGATATCACAAGAATCAGTTAGTTCACATTTTATCTTCTTTTTTTTGGAAATAGCTAAATGGATTTCTAATGGTGAGTTCAAGTTGTCAGGGCAGACCGGCAGACAGAGTACCTAGATTCCAATGCCAATAAGGTAGAGGACGTCAATATCTTTGGTAAATAATCTTGCTCCAACATGTAATCCGATTCCGAGGATAAGAGCTAGAACCAATCCTAGAACCACCCCCAACTGCAGTGTTTGAAAAAGTTGAATATGAGAGAGCAGCCGGCTTCTTGAAACCAATCGAGAAATTTGAAGGATTTGGGGGGTTTTAGAGTGAAGCTTCAACAGAAATCGATTTGGGGATTTTTTTGATTTCAGGGATTTGGGGGTTTTAATTCAATTGGGAAAAGATAAAACCCTACATGAAAGCTCAATAATCGCTTGGACGCTGCCCCGCTGCCGCTTGTCCAGTTGGAAACTTGGAGGTCCGTTGTCGATGTCGTAGGTAGGCGGAGGGAGCGGAGCAATGGCAACAGAAGGGAAAGGGAATGATAAAAAAAATTTCCATTCGACTTTAAGTCCATAAAAAAAAAATCTGGGCGAAAATGAGGCCCCCATCCGGTTTGGCCCTGAGGCGTAGGCCTCATGGGCCTCGCCACAGGACCAGCCCTGGTCGGACAAGATTATGATGATGTGTTTTCCCTATCACCTTCATCTCAGTTTGAAACTCTCTCATTCCTGCCAAGTCTTTCTCGAGCTTCTTCACAGCCACAATAATTTTGTTGTTTGATAGAATCCCTTTGTAAACTGTGCCACATGCTCCTCTACCAAGCTCTTCTTCGAATTCATTTGTGGCTTGCACAAGTTCTGCATAAGTAAATGCTCGTAAACCAACGTCATCAATCATTTCAACATTTCTATTGTTGGAAATCATATAGGTTCCAACATGATTTCGGCGGACATAAACCCAAGAAATTGCCAAGATCAATGCAGCCAAAGCAACAAGCGAAATGCTGATGATTAAGAAGTTGTTTAGATGACGTTCTTTCACGACTTCATTAACTGAATTATTTGGAACTCCCTGTGTGAAAGATGAACGTGTGGCCACCTTGATAAGAGCAACATTTGAACCACCCTGCAATCTTCTTCCGTATCTCAATGGAAGCTTTTGCTTTCTGCAGATTCCATCTTTAAAGAAAGCGGCATCACAATTGCAGTCCCCCAAACAAGCATTTTCACAATCTTCTTTAGTCTTCATATCTTCTATAATATCATAATCAGTGTCTTCCCACACTGTGTTATCCAGGGATCTCATTCTATAATTGACATTTTGATCCTTGTTTTTACAACTTTCCATGGAAAAATTCCTCTCACATCCTAAGCTCTAGTTTCCTGGAATAACTTGTAAAAATCCTGGAAGACATTTACAACTTGTATTCCCATTCGCCATAGAACAGAAACTATTTATTGGGCATACACCCTTTGGGACACATTTATCTTCATTGGAGAACCATTCTATAGCCCAGTTGCCTTGACGATCCAACGAGCGATTATATACACAAAAAATACCATCCACATCAATTCTCATGAGGATGAGGTAGATAGTTCCTGTTCGATATTGTCCCATTGATAAATTGAATATAACGGAGATTCCATCGAACAAATAAAGATGGCCATTATTATCAAGATTCAATGATACACTACTGCCCTGTCCAAAGGTTTGTGTTGAATAGTAAGCATCAGATGACATGACATTAGGTTCTGCAGGGTATTGCACTAGGTTCCCATCAGCTTGCATCCTGAGTCTGAAAAGCCCTGTTGGGTTTTTGATACCCAATAAATCCCTGGCTATGATGTTAACGTGGGTTAATATTATTTTATAGACATAGACCGATGAATGAAATAAGTCTAATAATCAAGTCCATGAGCTATACCCGGCCCAATTGTATTCCTTATGGATGATTTGAATCTTGGCGTGTTTACCCCTTTATTGGCCCAACTTAAAGCCTAACCCTAGAATATATATTTGGCTATAACCCTAGCCACTTTGATATGATGATTGTGTGATTTTGAGAGAAGAAACAAGAGAATCCCGGCTGCCCCATTTTGGGTGAGAAAAAAGGTATCCAGAAGTGTCCAGAACGCTGGTGTAACGTGTGCAATTGGTGGTTCTTTCATAGTATACCTTTGTGATGTCTTTTCTTAGACTTTGTGGCAATAAATCATCATCCTTTCTTGTCCTACGTGGGTAAGATTGAATAGCAACCAAGGTGAATCAATTGGTTGTGGTTTGGAGCCGTTCGGATTGGTTGTTGGTAGAGAAAGGTATGTTGGACTGAGCCTGGAAAACCACCATTTGAAGATCCTTTTGAGAGAGCTTCCGCAACAATTGATATCAGAGCTTCAAGGTGAAGGTTTTGGCTCGTGATATTTACTAGAAATCGTCCAGAAAATAGGCAGAAACGCAGCAAAAATCAGATTGAAGAAGCTGTCCAAAAACTGTTTAAATTAGTCTTCATTTTTCGCATTTTCTGATCAATCCAGAAGGGGTTTGGGGAAACGGAGACCACTGGCGTGATGTGCAAGAGGAGGTAAACCTTGCAGGTCGGCGCGTTTTTTAGTTTCAGGGTACGCAGAAGAATCTGGACAACATTGTTCTTCGGGCGTTCGGGACTCGATCGTGATTTTTTGGTTGCTGCAGTTTCCAGAGACTTTAGGACGAATAGTGATGGTCCTAAAGTGATAAATTCGCAACTCTCATAATTTACGGACTCAGATAGTCCGTTCTGGTATATTGGCTTAACTTAGTTTAAATTTCAGCATTAGCAGATGATCTTGTGGGGTGATCGTTAGGATTGGGGGTTGTCATTGCTTGGCAACCATTGCTTGTGCTAGAAAATTTAGGAATTATTTGCTCTGTTTTTGAAGTGTTGAGTTTTGATTGCAAGTTGACAGTTGATTTTGTGCTTTACCTGTCATATAGTTACTGTGTGAGACTTGTTGCGTGGAAATTCGAACTTTTGTTTACATACCTTCGTGTTGCATTGATTTTCCTATTAGAACACCTGGACTTTACCCGTTCGAAAATTTCCTTGATCTAAGATCATGAATCTTACGAAACCCTGAAAATCTAGAATGATGTATATTGTGGCCGTAGGATAACTTTGTGTGACCTATCTGTGCTTTTGGTTGTTCTAGTTTTTTAAAAATGTCTTCACGCTTTGAAGTTGGAATTTTTAATGGGAAAGGGGATTTTTCAATTTGGCAACAAAAGATGAAGGGTATTTTGGTCCAACAAAAAGTTTCAAAAGCCATAGATGGCTAATTTTCTGCAAATTTAACAGAAGTACAAAAAGAAGAGTATGATGAACTTGCATACAGTTCAATTATTTTACACCTATCTGATACTGTTTTGAGAAAAGTAGGAAAACTTGATTCTGCAAAACAACTTTGGGAAAAGTTGGAGGATTTATATTTGCTTAAGTCAACTCCTAATAAATTGTATTTGCTTGAACGATTTTTCAGCTTTAAAATGGATCCTTCAAAGGATCTTGATGATAATCTGGATGTCTTTAACAAATTAGTTCAAGACATCGTTAATTGTGATGAAGAGGTATCTGAAACGTATAAAGCTATTATCCTGCTTAATTCCATGCCTGATTCATATAGGGAAGTTAAGAATGCAATTAAGTATGGTAGGGATACCTTAACAACCGAGATTGTCATAGACTCAGTTAGGAGTAAGGAGATGGAGATTAAGGCTGAAAAAGAGGATAAGAGGAGTGGCGAGTTACATATGATGAGGAGTAGGATGAAGTTTAAGCAAATGAATTTGGGTAGAACTCAAGATGGTAGTGATTCGAGTAGCGACTCGAGTGATGAGGGTAGTAAGAAGAAGGGCAAGGGACGAGACAAGTCTAGTGATAGAAGGTGTTACAGTTGTGGTAAGTTTGGACACTTTATTAGGGACTGTCCCAAGAAGAAAGATAAGCTGAAGGAAAAGATGAGAGGTGAGATGAATTTGGTTGAGGGGTCGAGTTATGACCCCAGTGAGGTTTATTAAGTGTAAACCTAGTCACTGCATATGTATCTGTGTGTGATCCTTTCTACATATGTGTGATTGTCTAAAATTTCTTGCATGATTATCTGCTACATTTCAATGTGTTTGATATGTGCATTTGCATGAATTTGAGACATTAGAATTACTTGGTGTAATTGCTTGCATGCATAGTGGGTTAGGATGCATTAGCAGTGCATTGTGTGTCTTTTGGTGAGGTGGAGTATAGACACTTAGAGGTACATGGTGGTTTGTACCAGGGATGTGGAGTGTGACATTTGGATCACGAGTGGAGATGTGATCAAATGTCTAGGATCCTTTATCTGGAAAGAGACCCTGATCAGGTGGAGTGTGAGAGAGACACTTCTATCACTTCTGTTAGGTGGAGACCCATTATCCACATAGGTTGGGAGAAGTGATGTGGAGATAGAGGATTATCCCGTGGACTTAGGATCTATTGTGACTTACCAGTTAGACATGAGTTGAGTGATCTGTCTAGTGAGCGTGGTGGGCGATGAGAGGAGATATGTGTTCTCGAGGTGTGAGCAACACGGAATGTGATAGGATAAGTGTGGTGAGATCTTTTCTTAGGGTCATTTATGCATGTGTTGCATATGTGGTTGACCGTGGTTTTGATTGACTTGGTGTTAATCAATGGTTCTATGTGAACGTGTTTCTGAAAAGATCTCTGTGTGTTATCCTATAGTATATCGTCATCGCATGTGTATTTGCTCTTGATTGTTTACTGTTAAATATTTGCTTCTACTTGGGTATTTTATGACCTTAGCCTTAGTGAGTACATGGAGTAGGTATGGTATGTGTTTCAAGTTGGAAACACGAGGTAAGGTCTGTGATCTAATTTTATTGGCTACCTTGATTATGCAAATGTTAACTGTGTGTTTTGATTGCTTGCAAATTTACTGGGCATCAAGGTGGAGATTTGTTGGGTTTTTGATACCCAATAAATCCCGGGCTATGATGTTAACGTGGGTTAATATTATTTCATAGGCATAGGCCGATGAATGAAATAAATCCAACAACCAAGTCCATGAGCTACACCTGACCCAATTGTATTCCTTATGGATGGCTTGAATCTTGGCCCATTTACCCCTTTATTGGCCCAACTTAAAGTCTAACCCTAGAATATATATTTGGCTATAACCCTAGCCACTTTGATATGATGATTGTGTGATTTTGAGAGAAGAAACAAGAGAATCCTGACTGCCCCCTTTTGTGTGAGAAAAAAGGTGTCCAGAAGAGTCTAGAATGCTGGTATAACGTGTGCAATTGGTGGTTCTTTCATAGTATACCTTTACGGTGTCTTCTCTTAGTATTTGTGGCAATAAATCATCATCCTTTCTTGTCCTACGTGGGTAAGATTAAATAGCAACCAAAGTGAATCAATTGGTTGTGGTTTGGAGCCGTTTGGATTGGTTGTTGGTAGAAAAAGGCACGTTGGACTAAGCCTGGAAAACCACCATTTGAAGATCCTTTTGAGAGAGCTTCCACAACAATCCCTTTGGCAGGGTTCGATTTTGAAGCACTGGAGACGATCACTTCTTCAGCCCATAGACGTTGCCCGGACAAAAGAGTGTCTGTTGGGTTATCAAAACTCTGCCATGTGATATTCTGAGCCGAATCATAGAGCACAAAATTTCCATTGTCAAGCATTGAAGCTGAAGCAACAGGCAGGCGAGGATTCGCAATATTTTTGTCATCTCTATCTTCCTGCTGCAAAATGAGCCTTCCATCATTGGTTAATACTAAAACCACGTTGCTGGGAGAGACGGGATCATCCCTGTTGGCTGTCCACACTACAGTTTTTTCTGGAATCCCAGCAAGAAAAATTCCAACGGCATAGCCATTTGTTACGTTGTAGAATCCAAAAGCATAGAGTCCAGAAGGTGACAGCCATGATGAATTTGTACTGGGGGTTAAAGAAGATCCAAGGGAAATATTGGAATATCTTTGTTGCTGGGCTGATGCTGCCATTAATGCGGAAATAATGAGAAAACTTGGAAAAACAGCCATGGAAAATAGATTCTCCACTTTTCTTGGGATATGGCTTCCTTGTTTCATTGGGGAAGGAAATATGTGTTATTTAAAGTGATCAGCGTACTCGCTATGACTCGTTGCAGTCAATGCTTAAGCTCTGTTTGTTTGAACAAAGTGTACATACATGAATCTAGGAAAAATAATTCCTAAGTCACTGTTTGTCTTGATTGTGAATGATTTAAGTGCTTGTTTGTGCTCCATTATTTGTGAGAAATGTAATATGGAATAGTGGTTGATGTTGAAATGTGTGATTTAAAAAAAAGGAAAAGATTTTAATTTACATGTAATATTATTTTAATGAAAAATGTGTGGTTAAAAATAAATACTATAAAAAAATAATGCAGTAGAATGTGAAAAAAAGGTAGACAAACGAAGCCTAAGATACCAAAGGAATGATAATATGCATTTCATATAACCGATCAGAAATTTATTAAAAATTAAAGCTTTTAATTTATTGTCGTTTTCATTTTAGACAAAAAATTCTTGTTAACCTTGAACAAGTCCAACTTGTGCCAAAAGTATCTACGTATTGTGTATGGAACGATATGCGGTCTTATGTTTAAAGTTCTCGTACCAAAAAAATAGACTAAAGTTTGATTTCAAGATGTCCAAACAGTTAAAATTTACTAACTAAAAATGTGATTAAACTCTCCACATTCGACCAAATATTTTTCAGATACATTTATTGTTAAAATGATCATTTATAGATGACAATTTGTGTTCATTTTCTCGAACTTTTTGAACCAATAATTCTCTTTGGACTGTCGACTTCTATCAAAAACACATACGGAATATACTCTAGATCCCTTCAAGATTGGAGAAGAAATAAATTTAGAATAATTGATGTCAAATTCAAGTCTTTGTTTACAGTGAACATGGATTTTCTTTTTCAAAAGTCTTCGTGTTTGATCTTTCAATCTTGGTGCAAGGTATCTTCCATGTAACTTCAAGTCATGGATCATATTTCAATTCCACAAAAGTCGATGTAGAAATTTGAATTTTCATTTTCATTTTCAAGTCTTTGTGTTTTACTAATATTTGTATGCCAAACGTTGTTTAGGATAAGTCTAGGAGACGCCCCACTTCGAGTAACGCTAGTGGACTCGAAACGTGACGTGTGTCGATGATATATACCAACTCAAAGTTGGATACATCATCAAGGCTACTACAATATGCATATTTTTCTAAATTATTTTTAACAGAATTTCAACATTATCTCCCCGGTAAATAAGATCAGTGACCTGTAACAATAACATAACACAATAGAGATAAGTCGAATTCACAACTTTTACTACGAAAATAACATGAAATGTACTTATGGACGCAAAATTCATAGTGACCCCCATAGTTATTTACTTGCCCCAACATATTGACTACATGCTACATGAAATGAATCATACTAGCAAACTCTGTGTATGGTTCTGACTCCAAAATCAAAGGTTCAACTCCAAAATATGCCTAGAAACTCAACTGCTACCTGATAAGAAAACTGGGGAAAAATATTTGAGTTGATAACTCAGTGAGTGGAAAAGTTTGAAAATAAATATATCTTTTCATTTATACATTTTTATCGAAAATCAAGTTTATATCATTTAACAGTTTACAATATAACAGTATATAATAATAAAAATCAAGATGTGAGACATCCTCATAATTCTGAAATATACAATCTCATTGTCATATTATTATCATAAACTCAAATTTATAATACAATCTCATAATGCCACATGTAATCCAATAAAAATGTACCCTTTGACTGAAATTGTAATTTGCTCCTCTGGCTAAGAACTTTCGCCATTGTCTTCGGTCCCCTTCATTAATGAAAGCGAATCTCAAAATCTTTGATAATCAATTCTAGGACACGATCAAATCCCACCCTGTGAACTATATCTACACAGTCAATACCAATGTCTGGTCAAGACCTCTCCATGTAGGATTGAAAAAAAGGGGGCCAAAGCCCCTCCGTGAACTAGAAAATATATATAATCATGGGTACTTTTTGGTCGATCTTAATATCACATGTTACATTTCAATTCACAAGTAATCCATGTACAACTTTTATGATTTCGCAGATATCATAATGAAAGAACTTTTCATAATAATCATGTAATTGTACAAGAAATTCACATAATTGCACATAATGTGACAGTATAATTAATTTATCAATATTTGAAAATATTTAAGTTTTTCGACTCACAGAACATGTAGTCAAAATCAATTCGATTGGTAGGTTGCCCCTATCTCCATATTGTCGCTTGAAATATGATACAATTTTTAGGTTAACAATTAACCATTTTAAGTAACTTCAATAATTAAATTGGCGATACTAAATCCTAATCATTTTATACTTAAGCAATTTTCCCAATTCCTTTAATCACTTAAGCTATTTTTTCTTCTCTTTAACTTAATTTCCTAGCTCAATATACTTAACTTAGTAGTTCCCTTTCAATAAAATTGAATTGAAACTAATAATCTAACAACTCTAAAATTAAACATAATTGTTCAATAAGTATCTTTTTACTTACCTTTAAAATTGAAGAATTCAAACTTAATAGTAGAAAACACTTATTTTCTAATCACGTTGGGGACTTTTATATTTTTACCTTTTCTTCTTCTTTTTTTCATGCCTCGTTTTCTTTCTCCATGTGTTGTGTGTGCTTTGTGTATGAATGGATTCGGATATAATTGGATTGATATAAACCAAATCAATCCACCGCCTTTATGATTATTTTATTTTATTTTTTGTTTGGTTTCTTCTTATTTTTTTAATATATGTTTGACTAACTTTTTTCCCTTTGAATTAAGGTATAACAAAACTTACCCACTTAAAATAATTTCATCCCCGAAACTCAATTGATCAATTAGGAAAAAGTCGTGAGTACTGAGAATAGGTCTAGGTATTCGGGAAGAGAGAAAAATTTAGCCCGTGTTTTTGGGGGGAGAAGGAAAAAGCTTAGCCCATGTCTTGGGGGGAGAAAGAAAAAGAGAGGGAGAAAGAATAGGAGGGAAGAAGAAAGTAGAGAAGCCACAGAAAATAAAGTTGTTCCAATACAATGAAAAACCACTCAATAGTTAAACCAAAAACCCTTAATAACCAGAAACTATTTAGTAATAGTTTCAAGAAAAAAATCATTTAAATAATTGACAAGCTCGAATGAGATTTATTGTTAGAATGGCAAATAGGCTGTAGTGAAAATGACAAAGAGGTCATTCACTTCACTTCTGTGATCAATTCATGCCTCCACTGCATTCATATAGAATGAAATATTATTGGTTTGATATAAATTTAATGATGAATATCTTCGATTGATTTTAGAGTGTAATTGATGGTTTCATTTGACTAAAGTTTAAATCTTCAAATGGTTTTATTCGGCTGAAGTTTATGAACAGGATATAGAGTAAATCAAGGGATAAGATTGCCATTGTTGAAGGCATAAAATTACAAGGTATTTAATGTATTTAATGAGCTAGACGGAGTTTTAAAAGAACCAGTGATAGAATCTGGATTTTTCTGTTCTGTCTTTGGTTTAATTTACAATTGACTAAAATATGCTTGAGAATCTTGTTATCATTCAAAAAAGTAAAATTACATTGTACTTAGGAAAGAAGAAGGACATGGAGGTGCCGGGATATCTACCGTCCCTTCCAACATCAATAGAACTTTCTTCATCGATGGACGGAGAGATGGTTCATCTTGGATGCACCAAACCTATTTTAATCATTCTATCCAATTTTATATCATCAACCATCTCATCTCCCATCAGTTTACATACCTCCCCGCCCTCGAAAGCATCGTAAACCCGTTCTCCAAGAATAGCTTCATCCTCATAGAGGCTCCAATCGACACTTTTTTCTACCACATATGATCTCTAGTAGCACTATTCCAAAGATATAAACGTCTGCTTTAACTGTTACAGGCGATTTATTAAATTTTTGAATATGATTTTTAAAAAAAAAATACAATTGCTAAATAATTAACAAATCAACTTAAATAAATGCTTTAAAATAAGAATAATTTAGTATAGCTAGTTAAAAATTATTAATCCCTTGTTTGGTGCTACTAAAAATCAAGATTTTAATCCAAGTCAAAGTCAACAATTAATTTTAACCGCACATTTTATAAGAGTCACAACTTTTCAACCATACATTTCATTACCTTCTATCAAAATTTACTAAATATTTGAATTTAATCCCCACCAAATAAAAACTAAATGTTTTATATTGCTTTTCTCTAATTTTTTATTTTTTATGTTCTTTAAAATAATATTCTCATACTATTACAAATGCAAAAAAGTTGGTATCAAATGTTTAAATCTTAAATTCTTTTTAGTCCAACTTTTTATTAAATATAGATCAATTTTAGTTTTTCCATTTGATAAGAATTCAAATATGGTTAAGATTTAATAACTTAATACAAAAAGATTTTTTTTTAATTAAAACAACCCTTTTTGTCTAAATAAAAATAATATAAACGTACATACATAACATAAGAGAGACATACGTTTGTAATTTTTAATAAGGGAGAATGTGGCTCTCTACAATTTCCGGAGAGCCACAAAAAAGAACTTTAGAAAACCAGAAAGAAATTCTTAAAACCAGAAAAAAGCATAAGTTAATTTACTGTCTTATTTAACAACATAGAAAACATTAGTGCAAATTCAAGAATCTACTACTTTATCTTGTGATCTTCTGATTGATTCAAACATTTGCTTTCAATCAAGCAGGAACATGACTGCTTAATTTATTCTCCAACTCAAACTATATGCACAAAGGCAACTGCAATTATGCAATAAAACACAAAAGGTGACAAAGTAAAACTATATTGTACTAAGGAAGGAAGTAGGACTTGGAGCTACTCGAATTTCTACAGACCCTTCCAACATCAATAGAACTTTCTCCATCGATGGACGGAGAGATGGTTCATCTTGGATGCACCAAATACCTATTTTAATCATTCTGTCCAATTTTCTCTTGTCAACCTCCTCGTCTCCCACCA